AAACTGACAATGTTTTAAATTATCACTATAAGTTCACTGATACTTAACCCCATCATTAATCAAGGTGCCTGTATATATATATATATATATATAAACACACACACACACATGCACACACACACAAATATCTTTATAGTGTCAAACAGAAAAAGATCATTTGAGTACATCACAATAAACAAAAATGAAGGAAAAGAGTATCATTATGATTATACTAGTATTAAAGTACAATAGAATAGCCATGTTAATACTAAAACTTCAGGTTTACAAATGATCCTATAAACAGGATAAGAACATTAATTGACAATGTATTAATAGCATTAATATATATAGAAATTTTATAATTCAACATGAAAAGACAACAATATGATAAAAGTATTTTTCAAGAATATGATAAGTCAATTCACAGAAGAGAAAAGCAGTCAAAGAAATGGAAATAATTTTTTAAAGAATGATAAGAATTTGGGATATCTCATCTAATGCATTTCTATAACTACTTTTTCAGGTAAACCCGAACTTACAAACTCATGATCAAGGAATTCTATTTCAGTTGCAATGTGGTTGGCAGTAGTTACACCACAGAATAAATAAATGAAGCATAACTACCACAAATGGGTTACTACATACCATTAAATATATAGTGTGTGAAACATTAGCTATAATGAGGCTAGAAAGTTTAATGCAAAGAAAATATTATTAAAATTAAACAAAACATTTAAGAAGCCCTGCAGGTAAATTTTCAAATGACTTTAGCATAACCCAGTTAGGGAGAGTTCATCTACAACCTTGCTTAAGTTCTTGTCTATAGTATAAGTAAGTTTATAGAGTTTGACTATATATATATATATATATATATATATATATATATATGAAAATAAAGCTATTAATATTTGGACTAACAACCTATACAATACAAATTGATGTGAAATTTTTCAAATTCAGCAAGAATTGAAAACAGGATAGCTATAGGTCAATTCAGAGAAGACCAAGGAAGAAAAATAATGAAAGAATAAATAAGTACACAATATATGACAATAACTTTGAATAGCTTCATTCACTAACTAAAATATAAAGGAAAAAGTCAGAAACTTCAATTTAAATTAAGCATAGAAAACATCGAATGATATATGGTATAACACATGGTCAGATTCTGCAGTATATAGACTGAATTCACAAGATTATGAAGTTATAGAAAAACAATTGGGCTTTTATTCTAGATCTGACACTCGGTGCATGAAATTCAAGGAATCTACTTAATTTGTATGAATGTGCTTTCAAAATGCAAATGTGAAGTAATGACAATAGCTTTTCCTTAACATTTTCTGTAAATTTTTGATAGGACATCGTTGTCCCTGAGGCCTGTCATGAGACTTCTTTCAGCTTTATTTTCACCACTATTGTTCTCATTGACATCCTTTGCTTCAGTCAAACCTGTGCCCAGTCCCCAGAGACTCTCTACTGTTCAAGACGTGAATTTCAGTATGTGCTGCTGCGCTCTCCCAACTCATCTAACTGAAACTGTGCCCCTGAAAACATCTGCTGATGTAGGTGAACCTGGGGCATCTCTTGGGAAAATGACCACAGATTTTGTCAGAGAGGCATGTAAGTCAGCAAATCTGGTAGCATCTTGCACAGAAAACTATGCCTAGGAAGGAGAATGGTAATATGCTGAATTATTCACAGGAATATAAATGGAAAAAATGTGATGATAACTAACCACATAGCAGCAGAAATAGAAATGAGAAAACAAGATAAGAAACATACATCAAGAGTGGAAAATGATCATATTTTTAGAAAAAGAAGTAAGGAACTAATTAGTTTCCTTTCATACAATTAAAAAGAACACTTAATTGTACGCTCTTATACCCAACTATAAACAAGTGTCTTCACACTTCAATTTGAAAAATAAATTGATATGGGTAATATAAGAATATAATAAATATATTTCAGGGTTAAATTATTGTTGCTCCTTTTCTTTTGATCTTATTTTTTAAAGTATGTAATTTACTTGTAAGGGAAAAATTCCTCAAACTAAGAAACTACTTAGGAATCCTATTCACTTAAAAATAAAAATCTAAATAATTTGTCAACATTTACTAGTGTGATCCTCTTTTGCGTTTTTCCTAAGGTTTCAAGGATACATAGAATTTATAAACTGAGATTCAACTGGACTTAGTTTTGTTTCTCATGTTTCGCGGGAAAGTTCACTCTCCCATTTCCTGATAGGACAAATATTGAAAATTGATTCTTCATACTGAGTGAGACTTTTTCTGGAGTTATTAAAATAATAGAATACAAGAAATAGACCTAGTACTAAAAATCGTAAGCTAAAATAATTCCTTAATTAAATGTGAAACCATATATTTTATGCCCCAAAAGAAAATTAGACCTGAACGTAAAAACAGTTTTTCATGGAACATCTTCCAAGAGCAAGGAATACCCCAGGCACCACATGGGATTAACACAGCTGATATTCTATGATACATTCTTATTCCTGAATTAGGTAACTAGGTTAACTCTTTTCTAAGTCAAAGGTGGCTGGTGTGGTTGAACAATGTGGTGTGGAGGGGTGGGTGAATATTGAGTTCTGAGCAGATTCCATTCCCATGAATTTGAAAACAGAAAGCAAAGGAAGCAGGAAGCAGCCCAGGCAATGGTTAAACTGCCTCTTGCTGTGAAGAGGAGAGGGGGAGGGTGGGAGAGAGGAAAAGCAAGGGAAGATAGGTCAAGTAAACCATGAGCCAGGAAGTGAATTATTTAATTTGATTCTTGCCAGAAGCTAAATTCTTGTAAATGTGCATCTTTTTTTCTTCTCTTTTCTTTCTCCCTATGCTATTGCTATTGGAATGAGGAACTCTTGGGGACCGGATGAGGAGAAGGTCAGAGTTCACCAAATTGTAGTTTTATGAAGAATGTAATTGCTCTGCTTCAGTTTTAACACTAAAATCTGCCAGCCCATAAAAAACAATTCTCCTTCTTGCGCACCCCCATTTTCAACATTTCTTGAAGATTTATATGGTATGAGCGCTGAATCTCATCCTAAAGCCTTGGTTTGTATTTTTAAAATCTGGTTTCAGTTTAGAGTTGCTGGGAGGGGCAGGCGGGGGCTGGGAGGCCAGGAGGAAGTTGTTCATCAAGAGAGGCTCCTGCTTGGGAAGAAGATGGACAAATCTAAAAGACTTCATATTCAATTCTCTCAAGAAGTTGGTCTGTTTCTTATCTCAATGTCTAAAAGAAAAATAATTTTGGCTCATAGGCATAAAAGCCTTTCAATTATTGAGACTTCAAACGTATGCTAATCCAAAGTTCAGGTTAGTTTCAATGCATTAAAGATGAGATTGAAAAGTATGTGTTCATACTACAGGACATATACTCAGACATATAATACTGACCTCCTATGCAGTAATGAAAGGCAGGTTTAAAGAATATAGCCACAACAGGCTTTGGCATTAGGAACAGAATAATGAAATGGAAGTTTCATTTCAAGTAGTATTTTTTGCAATTGCTATAAACCAACAAATTACTAGCAGGCAGTTACTGCCATTAACCAAGCAGCTAGAGCAGAATGATGTTGGAAATAGTCAGACATAAACTCTTTAAAAAAAAAAAAAGTGGAAAGAGAAATGCCCCTTTAATGTTGTCCTTAGTTATGTCTTACTGTATGAACTTCAGAGTGAAAACCACACGCTTCCAAAAGTTGTGCAAATTGTTGACGTGACATTTATCATTCTAAACTGCCTTGCTTTGAAATTTCGCTAGAGTGTTGGATTTTGCCCATTACATAGAATATGTTCACAGTTTGGGCACTCGACAAACAATTGCATAAATATCTACCTGTGCTCAGCGGAAAAGTGGCACTTCAAGGGATAACTTCATTTTTTTTAAAGGTTGTTTTTTAGGGAGGTTTGAACTGTTTTAAAAGTCTTGTATAGAAATGTATAATCAAAGGGATCCTTTGATTTAAGCATTTAGAAGACATTTGCTTCTTTGCATGGTTAGCAGAGAGTCTATATTTTCACATTCAATATTAATATCTTTAAGGTTAGAGGTCTCTTTCTCAAGAAGTTTAGGAACAATTTTTAGAAATTCAAGTCTTAAAGAGCTATTATGGTTAACAGATTGGGTGCCACCAGGATTTTGATCAGACTACACAGACAGCTTCTAAAAATCCAAGTGACTGGCTGAGTGTGAAGCTCAGAGCTGTAACACTTGCCTAACATATGTGAGGCCCTGGGTTGATCTGTAGCTCTGAAAATAAATAAAAAAGAATGCAAATAAAAATAAAGATACAGTAAGAAGTATTTTTCAGAACATAAATTCAGATAAAGCACCTCCAGGTTCAATCCCCAGTACCACATAACAAAAACAAAAACAAACAAAAAACCCCCAGAAACTCAAGTTTACTCAATACCTTTGAAAGAATGATCCATTTATTTATAATCTCACTGAAAGCTATACACATCCTTTAATGCCTTCAACTATGGAGATAGGGACAACTTTTACTCTATATTTAATAATGAACATTGTTTTTCAAATAGACATCCCAGTGGAAACTAACAGGGTAAAAACCAGAAAATAAAAATTAATTAGACAAGTAGGAACGCTGACCTCATTAAGCCACTTGGGTATTTGTCACAGAAAGGGATACCTCAGTGAGTCCAGAGCACAGAGATGGCACCCTCATTACTGTATTCAAGTAAGAGCGAAGGGCAATTCTCACTCAGGTTTCCTTTCTGAATACCCGGATGGTGAAAGCATGATTAGACTACTCAAGCACTAGATCAAATAGTCTAGAAGTTGGTTTAAATTTGAAATGAGAATTATGGTATTTGAGTAAGTGAGTAAGCATAACATAATACTCATGTGAATGTGTTTCCCCTGTATTCTCTGGGGTGTCTACCTCACCTGAACATCTCTGCGGTTGGTATAAAAATAGCTCATCGATGGCTAAAGCAGACTGAGAAATAGCAACCCTGACTCCTCTGGCTCCTTTTCCAAATTACCTTTGCACACGAGGGAATGAAGCTTGCTTTTAACTCAGTGGCTGCAGAACAAACATATTCCTCATGGAAAACACGTGGAGGAGGTCATATTTCCTCATGTCAGCATGTGTCAGCCCTCCTGGAAAAACAGAGGAAAATGAAAGCAATTATTTCACCTCAGTTAATTTGTGAATTTCCCCAATATGGTTTGAGTTTCAAATGAGATATTTTTAGAGAAAGGAGTTCATGAAAACGTTGAAAGCACGCGCGCGCGCGTGTGTGTGTGTGTGTGTGTGTGTATGTGTTATGGATGATGTAGTAAGCCCTGTTTTTTGGTGCACAAATGTTCCCATTTTTTAAATTTTTATTTTGATGAATTAAAGAAGAAAATGCATAGTTTGGTGGGGGTGGGGAGAGGTGCTCTTTGGAATAAGATACATTATTGAACAGGCTGAAGAAGAAAAATTTACTTTATTTGATGTTACAACTGTTGAGTAATTCAACTAAGCAAAGCATTGTCCAAATGGAGAGAATTTTCCAGAGATATCCTAGCATGTGAGTCCCTTTTCCTCTCCAACCACCTCTTGTTATTACATTCCTTTCGTGTTGTTTCACTTACCCAGTGATTGCTATGTGAGCAACAATTTGCTAAACCTTGTTTGATACAGAATGTTAAAATGAAGATCCTGCTCTGTGGGAATTTATACAGGAATTGGGAAAATAAGCACAGATGCATGAAGAAGATAAACCAGTGCTTGTTGAGCACTTCTACTTCACTCACATTTTCACACTAACTGTATTAATTTGAGCATTTTCACTATTGTTGAGGGTTTCAAATACTATTAAGATACTGGTTTTTGAAACAAGAACAATGAAGTTCAAAGAGGTCCAAGGTCCTACTAGTAACGAATTTTGGACCTAGGATTTGAACAAGAGGATGCTCTTTAAACCTCAGCACTTTGTTGACTACCAAGTTCCTCACCTCTTCTACTCTTCTCTCTACCTAATTTCATGTTTACATTTTTCACCCTTTACCCATTCATTTCTTAATGAGGAAAATACTGGAAACTGTAGAAGAACTGTGACGTCCCCAGTGACATCTGAGAAATAAGAATAGATATTTTCCCATGTGTGCAGTAAAAACAACATAAAGTCCCTATGGGTGAAAATGAACTTGGCAGAGCACTTACTCAAATAAATTGCATAAGCCTGCACTACACAACTAGCCCTTTTTTGTTCTATGACATAGCTCAAGTGATATTTCTTTGCATTTTAATTAAAAATAGTAGGTTAAAATTAAAGATGGCCAATGATTCAAGATTTAATTGTAATTTATCAGTTGCACTTTTATTTAGACCTAAATTTTGTAATAATGCATGGCTAAAACTAATCAGTGAGCCAAGAAGGCCAAGATGCTCTACAGAACAGTGTGGAGAAAGGAAATCAGAACTCTAAATTTAAGTTGTGTAATGCACTGGGGCATCCAACTTCCAAAATGATTGAGCAATGTGATCTTTCAAGATAAAATAATATTTTTATTGTCTATAGGTCCTAATTGATAAGCTTGGGTAGTAGAATTGCCTGGAGTTGAAGTCATAAGATATGTGCCTTTCTCTTTTTGTATTAGGTATATGATTTGAAACAAGATTTTGTTTTCATTTTAATTGGTGGGTTATGATTGTTTATCTTTATGGGATACAATATCACATTATGATACATGTGTGCATCGTGTAATAATTAAATCAGGCTTATTAGCATATTCATCACTTCCAACATTTATTATTTCTTTGTGGAACAACATATTTTAATCACTTATGTTCCAGTGGCTAATAAATGGGAAGACCAATATATGTCCTATAAGCTAATACAAATATTAAATAAGGGAAGTCAATTAAAATTCCTCCTCTACAACCTTGTACATAGAATTTAGTAGGACATGCTACATGATTGTAGTGGGTTTCCCCAATAATAAGGCCTCAAAATGTCGTTCTTCTGACATCTTTGACATATTGGTCTGGTCATTTGTCCAGGTTAGATCATGGCGGCTGAGATGGTTTATGTGGGGTGAGGTAGAGGAAGACTATCACAGGTAGGGAGGGGAGACGGGTCATGTGCCAACCACTTGGCGAGGCATTCATGTGCTGAAACACAGCAGTAGCACCAGAATAATTCAACAAGCAGAGAAGAGGAGTGGGTAGATTAGACAAAATCTAGATAACAACTACACAAATAAAAAGCAGACATGCAAAGGGAGCCATCCGGGAAGGAGCCTGTAATCCCAAATCAGCATCACCATTCCTATCAGTAATTGCCATCCGTCCGCAAATCCATCCCAGACCTTCTGCTGTGATGTGTTTGGGGCTGAATGTCTCTCCACACCCAAACTTCATCCCCTGGGAAACATTAGATTGGGGTCAGGTCACTTTATCTTTATGTGCTATCAGTAGAGATTTTGTATATTTCAAGATTCTTTTGAGAAGAAACATGTTACAGTGATGATCTAGGTGCCAGATGTCCCACTATTATTTTCTCTTTTTATCAGTCTATAAAACCATTAAAGAGTAATTGATGTAAAATAAAATTAAAATCTTTCTTCTAAATTTTAAAAGAAAACAAATGACTAAAAATGTATTCTAAACTTCTAACTTTTGCCTATCAATCAAAATTTTATTACATTAATACCAATAATAAATACACATTTTGTGAGCATTCTATATGTGCCTTGGACACGTTTTTATCCCTCTCACCACAATGATTTGAGTTGGATATTATTATTCTTATTTAAGAGATGAGGAAACAGAAACTCAGAATAATTAAGTACCTTCATGAAACACGTAAGGCATCCAAACTTTTGAACAGAGACACTGCTGACCCCAAGGGCCAGGCTTTTCAGTTTGTAAAAGTAACGTCTCTGATGACTTTATTTGATTGTATTGACTTCAAATGATCTTCTGACATGTTTTGAGTAATTTTTCACTAGAGAATGTACCCACAGCAAGTTTTTGCAATACATATTGATCACAAAAGACAAGAAATAAGGACAAAAAATAGGCCAGTTAGAATCTTTGTCTACTTCTAAACAGAGGAATACCATGTATTACCATTTGTCAAAATGTTTTGGTTATAATGGTGAAACTTAAGTTTTATTTCCAAGTTTTTCATTTAAGTTACTATATTTCAGAGCATAATCATTAACAGATCTTATGCCAATCTTCTTTTTACAAAAGAATTATGTGAATTTTTAAAATTGTGCTAGTAGTATTACTTAAAATTATTTCTCACTAAACTGTCTTTGGTGCAAGATTAGGGGACACAGAATGCTCATGAATATATGGCAATGCAATGGCAACAATTATGCAGTGAAATACAGTACTTGTTTTTAGAGGTAAGAGACAAATCTAGATTGCTACTTTTATTTTCCTAAATATCAGTTCTTTTCTCATTAATATTCTAAAAATATTAATTTTAAATTTTACCCTTTATTAGTATTTTGCCTTTCACATTAAGATCAGTTCAGTTTGGGAAATGTTCTGTAGATGTATTTCTTGGCATCTGACATACTGATTTTTTTTTTCTTTTGGAAACGGGTGAGAAAAAAGAATAGTAGAATTATATATTTTGATGGATCATATAGATTTTGGCAGAAAGAACATTAAATCACTTATTTCTTTTTGGCTAGTCCATTTCTGAGAGAAATTAGATATGGTGATTATTGTTTAGATTTCACATGAAAACATATCACCTATTATCAATGACTCTAGTGCCTGGTGCTACTCTACTCATAGGATGATTTGTTTTCTTAACTTGGAGCTCAGAAAGTGAAAAGTGGTATGGAAAAAAATTACACACAAGAGGGATAATGTGTACTTGGTGTATGGTTGATAGTTTAATGGCAAATCAGAGAAGTTCTCACCAAGAAGATGTCATGCAAGAAAACTCTTGGAGGAAGTAAGCAAATCTTGGAAAAAGTATATTCTAGAAAGGCCCTGAAACTGGAATGTTACTCCTGCATTTTCAGAATAGGAAAGAATCCAGTTTGGCTCAGATAAGAATCAAAAGCTCATTGGTAGCCAGGTTTGTTGTTTTTTGATTTTGTTAAAAATTTTATTTATTTATTTTATGGTAGAACACATTTTGACACACTGTACACAAAAGGAGCACAACTTCTCATTCCTTTGGCTGTACATGGTACAGAGTCACCCCAGTAGTGCAATCATACATGTATATAGGGTAATAATGTCTGTCTCCTCCTACCATCCTTCCCAGCCCCTTAAGCCCCACCACTCCACTCCCTCCCCTCTACACAAAACAAAGTTCCTTCATTTTTCCCTATCCCCCCACCCCACTATGGATCAGCATCTGCTTATCAGAGAAAACATTCACCTTTTGGTTTGGGGGGATTTGCTTATTTCACTTAGCATGATATTCTCTAGTCCCATCCATTTACCTGCAGATGTCATAATTTCATTATTTTTATAAGGCTGGGTAATAATAGCCCACTGTGTATATGTACTATATTTTCTTGATACATTCATTGTTGAATGGCAACTAGGTTTTAGGACTTTCTTTTTTTGCTTGTTTTTGGTGGTGCTGGGGATTGAACCCATGGCCTTGTACATGCAAGGAAAACACTCTACAAACTGAGCTATACCCCCAGCCAGGTTGTTTACAAGAAGGACAAGAAATGACATAAAAATCATTTCAAAGATGCCCTGGCTGTTTTATTGCAAATATAGTATAAGGGTAAGAATGAAACCAGTGATACCATTAAGTAGATTATTAAAATAATTTTTAAAAATGTTGGCTTGGCCAAATATAATTCCAATGGAATTAATAAAAAGTGGTTAGACTCTGGATGTATTTTGAGGGTAAAATCAACAGGAATTACTGATAGAGTGGGTGTTTGGTGTGAGCAGAAGAGGACAAGGGATGATTTCTAGAATTTGGGGTGAGAGACAGACCAGTTAGCGCTGTCCTTAAGTGACTGGGGAAGCCAGTGGCAGAAGCAGGTTAAGTGAGGACACATCAAAAATGTAGTTTTGTGTGAGGTGCCTTTTACATGAACATGAGTGTGTTGAGACGGCTGCTGGAAAGACACAGTCAAGAGTCCAAGAGTCGAGGAGACGTGAGTGTGGATAT